TTATAAAATTACTACTCTTGCAAGGGAACAAAAATATGTTGAGTAATATTATGAAAATGAGACCAATATAAGAGTTATAATTGAGTATTATGCCATAGTGCTTGGTAGTTTCTTTTTCCAGTTACAAACTTGAATGGAAGGCCATTATGCTTAGCTCATGAGATGGTAAGAGCAAGAACAGAAATACAGAGATTTTTTAATTTATAAACATCATAGACAATTTTTTAACTTTATGCTGACAGAATTGAACTTTAGTTAATAAAAGTATGTGAGCTTATGAAGATATTGTGTGCATTATACCAACACTTATGAGCCTGGAGTTCTTCAATGTCTTCGGGTATGCTCTGGACTCGGCGTAGTTATGTTGATAAAAAGTGGAAGCAAAGAGAAAGTTGGGAGATTTTGGTGGAACCAGGACTTAAGAAGAATGAGAATCATTACTAAAAGTGTTCAAGTACTTGGTAACCCGAGAGGTGTCACCATGTGTGGGGAGAGTCTGTGTGCTTTCTAAGGAGCATGTCTTAGACATTTTAAGCATTTCAAACCTGATTTTTATGCTCTTATAATGGAAATACAAAACAAACAGACATTTAGAATATTATCCAGTCTGTCTTCCTGGGCCTTCTGCTTCTCCAGTGTTTAGTATGTAACAGCCTTGATAAGCACAAAGCAAGGCGGTTTTGCAGGGGAGAAAACTCACATGGATGGATCACTTTATGCAAAGGATGCAGCATGGAAAACTGTCAGGGCTTAAAAGTTATTTTGTTTTTTTAATAATTATTCCCTTTATTTGATTATTATGAAGTATTTTGCCTATGTGCCAATCTGAAAATGCAGCCATAATAGACATTTATCAATCAGATACATTGAAATATAATTTTAGAGTTTAGGCTCATATATAGTATTTATGTTTCAAAATAAACTACATAGATCTTTAAAATGGAGGCAAAAATTTGTTTGTTTGGTTTTTTTTTTTGTCTACATTGAAATACCAGTTGAAAATTATAGAAAATGAAGCTTATGATTTAGAATACTAGCCTTGCAGTTACCACATTAGCAACAAGATCTTTTGGTTTTATTTTCAAAATATACCTAAATCTTTCTGTTCCACTGTTATCACCCTAATCTAGGCAAAAATTGCATCATCTCACCTGGACTTGTCCATCAGTAGTTTTAATGGTTTTGTGTTCTTAAATTTATGCAGAAAATGAATTTCCAATGCTATATAGTATTAAGTTGAGCCTTTTGGAAAGTATTTATAGGCCGTAAGGATGGAGCCCTCAAGAGTGGATTGATGCACGTAAAAGAGCAGGTGGATTCGTGCCTTTGGGCCCTGGGATGACCTGCGTTCCTCGCTTCCTGAGCTCTGTGTTCACAGCAGCATCCTAGACACAGAGAACCACTTAGCCGACAAGGAACATGTCTGTACACTGGGGCTGCTTGGGCTGTAGAACTGTAGGAAATAAATTTCTGATTTTTATTACCCAGCCTGTGTTCTGATAAAGCAGCATTAAGTAGATTCAAATGACATGTAGATTCAGTTCCCAGTGGCTTTTACTACTGATGGTAGAAATGAATCTAATCACTTTTGTCTTTTTACACATAATAAAAAGCCACCCAGTGGGACAGTCATACATGTACCCACCAGTGGTTCAAGCGTCCTGGCAGCAGGACACAAATTACAGCCCCATCATGAATGTGGTAATTCTCAACTGTGTGAAAGGATGTATTTAAAATACTTCAATTAAGATTACACATTAGCAATTCAGGTACAGTTTAGATTTTAAATACATTTTTGGCTATATAGCAAGGACTTGCTTTTTTATACTGGGCAACAAACTTTGGGACCTTGCACTTGCCAGGCAGGCGCTTACGCTGCTGAGCTATCTCCCCAGCCCTTAAATACATTTAAAAAAAAAAATGATGCAGGGTTTTTTCTCAGAGCATTTTCATACACCTTAGATTAGAAGCCTGACAATGTGATTATTGTATAGTAATGCTCATATGACTTTAAGATGTATGTCCTTTTTATTTGTAGTAGAAATATTTGCTCCAGCTTACCCCACAAGAACACAATTTAATGCATATACCAACCCAGTCTACACTCCCATACCTTTTCTGACTAATTCTCTTACAGACTGGCAAAATTGGGACCAGATAAAAATCTATTAAGTCTCTGAATTACTTACTTATATGCTACAGAGCTGAGATTGTTGCTTGTAAAGACTGTATCCTATCAGAGCTTCTAAATAAGCATTTTTTTTTTACTCTGGTGATAAAGAATTATGGTTTATTATGTAAATTTTATTATTTCTCTTGTCTGGCTTTGCAATACTGAAAGACAACTTCAGTATTAATTAAATGCTTTTTGTCATAGTAATTAATAGTTGCATAGTATATTATGTATCAGCATGGTTGATATTTAATAAAGGTTATGCAGCTAATAAATTTCTGAGCTAAATTCCAACTTACAGAATTCTCTTCACAACAATTAGAAGTATACTGCTCTCTAGTTCAAAACAGTCTAGACTATATAAAAACTTGTGAAAATTAGTCATAAAAAGATAGCCTGAGGAAAATGGCCCAAAAACTTAGAAGATAAGCAAATTTCAGTGCACACATGAAAAGATGCTGTGTGTCCTGAATCAGGAGGGAAATAAAAATGAAAACTACAATGGGGAGCCACTATGTATACATAAGTGAATAAAATTAAGGATGAAAACTAAATAGGGATTTAGGACACATGAAGCCATCATACACTGTTGATGGAGAGTATAATGCCTCATCCTCTTTGGGAAACAGCTTAGGTCGATAAACATGCATCTAGCCTATGACTCATTCATTTCTAGGTAATTAAGAGAAATAAGAATGACTACAAAATTTGTACATAAGCTTTATTCATAATTTCTAAGAAAGCAGTCTTGACTGCTCACCAATGTAAGACATTTATTCAGCTAGATGCGTACTTGGCTAAAAATAAAAGAATGAGCTTAGGATACACAATATAGTACAATGAGCAAAAGAAGTCAAGCAAAAGGCTGCAAGTTATAATTCTGTTTGATTTCACTTGTAGGAAAGGCCTTATATAGACAAATAGATTACTGGATTAGAAGACAAATGATTAGTTATCTACTTGATAGGAAAGAGGCATAAAGCAGTCTGCTGAAGTAAACGCTATGTATGTTAGCAGTTGTGCTGGTCTTACATTTGTTTATATCTTGTTGGAGTGTCATAACTCCATACTTGGTGTCGCTTGTAAGCAACAGAAATGCATTTATGGAGAATAGGCAGTCCAGTGTCAAGGTGACACGATATTTGCTGTTTAGTGAGGGCCCACTCTCTGCTAAAATCACTTTCTAGCTCTGTGGTCACAGGATAGAAAGAATGAGGCAGCTTCCTGGGGTCTCTTGTACCCCATTGGGCTTTGCTGCAATGTCTTAATCATTTAGAAGTATATGATTCTTCACCCTCCCTCCTAATGCCATCATCTTTGGGGTAAGGATTTTGTATTAGTTACTTTCCTGTCATTGCAACACAGTGCCTGGCACCTACGACTTTATAGAGGGTGGATATTTTGACACACAGTTGGAGCGAGGTCATTCCATACTCGACTGTCCTTTAGGCAGAAACTGCATGACAGAACTCTAAGATGGCGGAGATCTGCTCCCTGCATGGTGTGAAGTCTCACCCTCCAGGTCACACCCCAGGCCCTTCCTATTCTGACCTGCCCTACTTCTAGGCATGAGACTTTGGGCAAACCTGTTAGATCTAAACCGTAACAGATTTCAACATGCATACTTCAGAGGGACATAGACACTTGGGCTGCAGCAACAGATACATGCATTTGCAAGAATTTGTTGAAGTCTGTATATTTAAGATCACTGTATATTATTGTATATAAAGAATATCTTAAATATAGTATATAAAGTTTTAGAAAGCAAGGAAGGGCTTTTGTACAAGTACAGTGACGATAGAAATCAACAACAAGCTGCTTAGGACATGCAGAGATTCACTAAGAAGTACGGAATTGTTACAGTGAACCTCATGATATTCCTAATAATGAAGACAAGATTGCATCTGTTATGTTTTCTAAGAAGCCAGCAAAGCACACTCTGCTTAGGAAGAATTTCATT